TTCCGTTTGTTCATCTATGTGTAGCATGAAGCCCAAAAATTTATCTTTAAAAAGCGCGACATCTACCGGACTGGACGCAAATAATCTACTATAATATTCGAAAAATGCGAGTTCGATTTCTTCCTTATCGCTTGTAACTGATCCGTCCCTCTATACCCTGTTATCTCGTTGCGCCGAGCATATCTTTTCTCAAGGCTCAGCGCACGCTTAGTTGGCGCTTCGCCTGTTGACCATCTTTCGGCTCTGGCTGTAACAATCGCCCCACGATATCGTTCCCGATTTGGAATCTTTAGGTTATCTTTTACAAAAGAAATATCGTCATTGAATACCCCAGACATTCTAGTCTCTTCTTTTAGTAGCATCCGCAAATTATTACGTTATAAGATTTCGTTGCTTCTTTCGTCACTTTTAAGTACGTCTGCCCGCTCTAACGCTTTCATTTTTATTTCCTCCTTAAAAAGCTCCCATTGCATACCATACCATTCTTTTTTTTCTGGCTCTCCAGTGTTTCGACCGTGGCCTGCACTTGGGCAGTGAAATCGTCATCCTCCAAAAGTTTCGCGTTCAATTTTCATAAATCCCAGCTAAAGACTTTCTTAGCTTCGGACTTACTACGAATACAAAGGGAAACTAGACAGTGATCACTAAAGAAAGCAGGGTACACACGACATTCAAAATATAATTGTATAAAATCTAAAGAAACGTACGCTCGATCTAGACGGCCGTGACTTGACCCTTCGAAATGGGTGTACTGAATTTCACGGCCATTCCTCAAACATTCGCCAACGTCATCTAAGCCGGACTCGCTTATTAGACTAAGAAGGCTCTCGGTGCCTAAATCGCGATAGCGCGTTGAACTCGACTTATGGCCCGCAGAGCAAGTGCAATTAAAATCGGCAAGAAAAATAATATGGCGTTCACTATTACAGTACTGATGTACGAAATAAAAAAAAAAAAACACTCGCCGCTCATCAACCCTACTGGGGGTGTACACACAAATTACCCTCCAGTTGTACGATGAAAAAGAAAAATCACATACAACAAAGCGCCCTGACGCACATGTTGTCACCACCTCGATGGTTGCACCCAAACTCTAGCGCACGAACAATATACAGCCCGCCGACAACCCAATCGAGTGACTAACACACACTTCGTAACGCGCCGTTAAAGGTCTCACCATAAGTTTGGTGTGGTCCTCACTCTCTAGACCTGGGTGTAAGATAGACAGGTGGGGAAACGGCCCATAGAAACCTACCACAGCGCCGTGACCGGATTGTGTACTCGTCTGCTTGCGGGTGGCTTGCGGGTACCCCCGATTTGCGACAGATGGCGCTGCGGCGAGAAGAAAAAATTTGGAATCGAATTTGCATGGGACTCTATGGGAGAGTGCGCAAAATAAACTGAGAGCACGACAGTCCTCCATTGAAAATCCACGAGAAACCTTCTCCATCAGTTTAACCGGTCGCCAGCGTTCGCCCACTTGGAGTGAGAGTTCGCGGTGCTCCACATAGATGGCGCCACAGAAAAAGAGAAAACCGAGGGGGACACAATGCGGTCGCTCATTTGGCTCTCGGTTCACCACCTGTCTATCTTACACCCTGCTCTAGACCTTGGTCTCCTGCAGAGCGATGATGTCGAAGTCCTGTTCGACGGCTAGGTCTTAGAGGCCCCCTGCGATTTGAGAGGTTTCTGACATTAAGGGTCGACCTTCTCGACAGTATTCTTCCTGCTAGTCATTGTGACTGGGACCAATTGTTAGGTATCCATTGTTGAATTAATCTTGTGATTTGAGAGGTTTCGGACATTAAGGGTCGACCCTTTCGACAGTATTCTTCCTGCTCGTCATTGTGACTGGGACCAATTCTCAGGTATCCATTCTTGATTGAATCTTACCAAACAAAAAAAACAGCCTGATACTAAATAGGAGCTTATGAGTGACCAATTATGATGCATGAGAGGATGCTACAAACATTGTTTAGATGATGTTCTCGATCACAAAAAAAATAAATTAAACGATGTTCATGGTTTTTACTGCTTAGGATAGGGTCAAAATAATAATTACTTTAATACAAAAAGCGAGTGGTGGACTGTTATATGTACCATCTTCGCTTCCAACTGGTTTGAGTTTGAATTCAGGACTAATTGCAACTGGCAGTTGACAGCGCCCCTCTGCATGACTACTATAACGCTCATATAAAAAGTTTTATGGCATATTTTTATCCGTGCAGGTTTCTTATTAGTTCTAGTTAGTAAAGAAAAAGCTGTTCGCTTATAAGTTTTTTTTTTTTAATTTTACTACTTCGCATATTAAGGAGATTGCCTTATCTTCTTGCAATGTCTTCCTAAGTTCTAATTGTGAATGTGGCGGTCACTCACTGGCGAGATATGTTCCCAGTCATTCGACGCAAGCGGCCTTTGCTGGTCAGCTACTGCATTGTTGGCTTTGCCTTTGGTCTCTCCTCGTCACGAAGGTGTGAGCTTAAGGCGCAACCAAAAGGTTACTAAAAACATATCTACAAAGGTATACAAGCGTGGTCTGAGGACCTGCAGATATTTCAGTGAAGCGCAAGGCTGGTGAGAGTAATGGTATCATTCATTCCCTTCCAACCAAACCTTGCGTGTTTAGCCAGTAGCATGTAAAAGAATAATAAAGGAATGGACAAAAAAAAATAGCAAACCCTAAACGGCTTTAGTTTCAGTGCCATATTTTCCAGGGAAATTTCCTCAGCAGCAATACCCCGCTTCTGAACATATTGTTGCAAGTATTAAAGGGGCACTGAAATCTATTCTGAGATGATCCTTTCGGGGTGACAACTCAATCTAGACGCTGTAGGCATTCAAACAAACCCGAAATCCCAATAGCGCGTAGCTTATTTCCTCGTTAAAAGCGTGTTCAAAGATCGCGACACGCCCTTTTTGAAAAAAAAAAAAAAAAATTTCTTCCCAGTGAAGTGGTCGACGAAAGGCGCTTGTCGGCGAGTTGCAAGTGATGACTTGGTCTGCGGAGAAAAAGATGAGTCTTATAGACTGAATGTGTACCTATCAGAGCCTCTTCGAAACGAGTTATGATAGAATCATTCGAAATCTGCGCGTATTGTTGGGCTTTCATTTGTCCACACAGTGTAGTCCGCGAGAAAAAAAAAAGTCCACATGTTTTTCTATTGCCCTGAGATGAATAGGCGGTTTTGTAATATCTGGGAACTGACACATTTTAAACAATATAAAACAGCCTCTTTCAAAAATGACTTCAGTGCCCCTTTTAAGTGCCATATCACGATTTTTTTTTGTCAACACGTTTTTGTAGGCTTGTATATTTGTGGAAGCGATGCATTCCTTCAACTGTCAACAACACAATATCACGACTTGGGGCCAGCCTTTTTCACTTTGAGTTGTGCTACTAACGAAGCCGCTAAATGTGAGGAAAGTTTTTCTTGCTTTTTTTATTTTTTCGAATCAATATAACAAAACTATATAAACACAAAATCAAAGTAATATTAGGGTCCGAGATGTTTTGGCGGCTCCCTCTCATGGTTTCCGTTCGTGACGTCACGACCAGGATTTGCCTTCGCTGTAATCGGTAGAACTTGCCTGTGTCTCTCCGTGATTGGCAGGATTTGCCTCGCCGTGAACTGATGATTGGACAGGGATTATCAGTGAACAGGAAGCTATGGTTTGGCCAGTCTTGAACTTCGACCAGAAATACGCTTTTGGTCGAGCACGTCGCTAATGCCCGAGTTCAACTAGAACGACAAACAGAAACAGGCGACAGAGACAAGCCTCGAGCCAGAGTCTTTCGCGATTTGACAGGCTTTGTAGAATAAAGGAGCCTATCTTCAAGCACAAGCGTCATGCACCTGAGGGTATCTTTGGCACGCTTGCAATCACTCGTGCTTACTTCACCAACACCGAACGACTAAACACCTGCCAAAGGTACCGTCCCGAGCATGCTGCATGCGTTTGAGTCCTGTCGTTGTCGGTTATTTCTGTTTGTCGCTCTAGTGGAACCCGGTCATAATAGTGTCTGTAATTTGTTCTTCGGCTTTCTTATTGCTTAATTATGCCGCAATCGGCTTCGCGTCTGTTTCGCCGCGAAGCGATACCAAGATGCTTGGGAGTAGCCACGCCTGGCGTCTATCAAACTGATTCTTAGCTGTTAATGAAGCGTGTGCACGCTGCTCTCGTTTCGTCCTGTGTTATATTCTTGTTTACATCATCTGCGCGGTGGCGATACGCGGAACAGTCTGTGTGTAAACATTACATATTCTTCCTGCAGGCTGGTCTATACTTGCTTCATCTCGTGGACACTCAAGTCGTTAGCTTCATGCTCATCTACATTGCGGCGTTTGAGCTTCTGGCCATGATGTGGATTCACGGTGAGTGCCGATGACGCTGAAGGCAACGGGCGACTCGAGAAAGGGAAGGAACGAATTTCACTAGACCGGGGGTGGCCAGACAAACATAAGCAAAAAGCCGCAAAAGAAAAAAAAATTTTTTTTGGAGTGAGGAGTTGGGGATTAAGATAATGGAAGCGAAGCCGCAAAAATATTTTTTTTTTTTTAGGTGAGGAGCTGCGGAAGAAAATAATGGAAGTGAAACGTTAGGAGCATGGCCTTTACTGTAGCCTTCTTTATAAGCATCATACTTGACCACCAATCTGACAAAGAACGGGACGCAAAACATTTTCTGTACCGAAGCAAGCGTGCAGGCAAGGTTAATCAGGCACTGCCCCTGAAGCCTTTTATCCAGTTAGTCCGATCTGCTCAAAGAAAATTGTATTTTCTTCTATATTGCTTTCCTTCTCGTGTTTTGGAGAGGGGACTTACTATGCAGGGAGCCAATAAAGAACCGCATGAGACCCGCCAGCTGCAGTTTGGCAACCCTTGAACTAAACGATAGCTTCGGCGACTCAGGTGCAGGATGACTAGCCTGTATGTTACGGTATATAGAAATGCCCGAGCTCAACTGTTTTTCTAGGTCTGGGTCATCTTAAGCTGGACATAATGCTGATGCACGGCGAGCTCTCAACCGTTACGCTGGAAGTCGCCTGGTGCATAATCTTGCCCGTCATTCTCGCAGTAAGTGTTATCCCGAATGAGTCGTGCCATCTCAGCTTGCCAAAGAACGTGTTATAGTGTTTCCTAAGCTTCGTGCACCCGGACCCCCGAAATCCAAAGGCTGGTGATCTTACATGTCATTGCATAATTGAAATCAAAGGAGAAACTTGTTGCAATGTCGAATGACAGACAGCTTTTAGGTCTTGTCAGTTGAGCGGACCATATAACCGTAAAAGTGTCATTCGGCAATTAATACTTTCTTGTTGAAGGTTGGTGTTTCTTATTACAAAATAACCAGATTGCAGCCTCAATTCGTGAGGCCAAGTACTGTTTTGATTTTGATCAGCACTGCCTGGATGAAAAGTTACTTTTCTCACAGATTTGTGATGTGGATTGCTGTGACGATAGCTGCCACAACAGTGATGCGAAGTAGGTTACGCTGAATTAACAAGCAGTGTACATTACAGGCCACTTTGATGACAAACTTACTGACCGGCTGCAGTTCGTTGCGCCTCGGGCCGATCGAATACCCGGTGTACGCCTGCTACATAGGCTGGAGCCTCATCATGCTGGGGGCGCTCCAGCTGCCCCTCTGGGCAGTCGTGTCGGCTTTTAAAAACCCCAGCAATAGCGACGAAATCCGGATGCTCTCTGGCATTTGAGTTTGCTAATCACAAATAAGCCTGGCTTTATTGGTGTCAATCCATCTGAGACGTGTTGTTGACGCTGCGTATATGCGTAAATTGTCTGAGATAACAGCGCATTCAAGTATTGAGAGACACTTAGCACGTTTAAGTGTCCGCCACACGAGCTGCAGCATAGCCTCGTCTATAAACATAAAGCTAGCTAAGGTAAAGCCCAGCCATGTTAAAAAAATGTTAAAGGCAAAAAAAAAAAATGGGGGGGGGGGCGATCACGTGGCGTGATGCGTTCAGAGAGCGCTAACATGTGTTGCTTATTCCACGATATGACAATGACGATCGTCATATAGTCGCCAAGTTTTTCTGTAAAAGTTTTTATAGAAACTGAATTGGTGGATAGGTCACGTCACGTAAATGTTTCCGCTAAATTTAGCGGGGAACCTTACTTCGTCTGGAGGCTGGTGATGTCATGTAACGTGACATCAATTTTCCCGCCAAATTTAGTAGGGGAAACTGAATTGGTGCATATGGTGACCTGACGTCCATTTTTCCGCTAGGCGGCCGGGGAACTGAACTGGTGCATCGGTCACGTGACGTCTATTCTTCCCCTAAATTTAGCGGGAAACTGAGTTAATGGATAGGTTACGTGACGTCACTTTCCGCTAAGTTTAGCGGGGAATTTGAATTTGTCTGTAGGTCCCGTGACATCAGGTCACGTGACATCAATTTTTCTCCTAAATTGATCTTGGAAACGGAACTGGTGCATAAGTCCCGTGACGTCAAGTTTTCCGCTAAATTTAGCGGGAAAACTGAGAATTGGTGCATACGTCACGTGACAAATTGTTCCGCTAAATTTAGTGGCAACTTGAATTCGTCTGTAGGTTGTGATGTCAGGTCACGTGATATCGATTTCCCGCCAAGTTTAGCGGCGAAAATGAATTGTTGTATAGGTCACGTGGTGCCAATTTTTCCAATGTAAAACGACTCCGATGTCAGCACCAGGCAGCGCAGAAGGAATTCCCTTCAACCACTTTTTGTCTTCAAGAAGTACGTGACGTTGGTCGTCTCTGCCTGTTCTAAAAGTACACTGCCTACTGCTTGCTACTCTCTCCCTCTTTCCCAGTCTCCAACGCATGGAAAAAAGAGGAAGGAAAAGGCGGATGGGAAAGTAATCAAGGCAATATTGCCGCGCGCCAAGTAGGCAGCGCGGCCCTACCCTAACGGTTATCGCGCTTGCCTCCCACGCGAAGAGCAAGGGTTCGATTCCTGGCCGCGGCTACGCATTTTTGTTTACACTGTAATGTGATGTTCTGGTGAATTCGAGAACCGTCTAGCTGATTCGAGTTTAGAATGTTCTACGCGTCGAACCTTCTACGTCGAATGCTCCAGAAGCCAACACGGGTACAAAAGCGGCTCCGCATGGCAAGCTGGAGTCAGTCTCGCCCCAGCGTTCGACTCTGCTGTCACGCCGACCTCGACGCCCGCGACGCTCTGTTATTATCTTTTGTACCCTTTTATTTTTGGCACAAATTCGCCACATTAAACGTTTATTTATTCCTGTTTATTTCTTGTTTATTGGTCACTACCCGTGACAATATGATGCTTGCACCAGACCGCGTGAGCTGCTGTGTTAGCACAATGCAACTTGGAGCACGTTTAGTGAAAGTTTGCGTGACAAAACCCAAAGATTTTTGGTTTTACCCACACTCTTGGGGGGGGGGGGGGATCATTACTATTCGAATGGGATAACACCGGCGTGCAGTTGTTTGTCACTACTGTGTGATGCATGCCAATATCTCCAGGATAACAGTTGTACTGTACTGGGTATATCTCTTATGTACAGTGTGCACAAGTCTCGCGGAAGTATGGCAGACCGACCTAACGCTGTCGAAACATCTAACGTCTACTTTGCCTTAGCCTTGGTTTCTTTATACGGATGTCAGGTTTCCCCCAGTTAGAGGAGGCAAAGATTGCAAGTAACCAGATAACAATCTAAGGCCCTTTTATTAGTTTTGACGAATGCATAAGAAGCAAGTATGCTCGCCGTCCAAAGGACGAGGCGTGCACCCGTTTGTTGTATTTGTCGCAAGGTTTACTAATGTGTTCAAATGGTCCTGTTTTGCATGGCCTGAATCTACCCTGACATTTTTTGGACGTTCCAAATATCTCAATCCAGAAGTTGGAACAGTGCCTGGTGCCCTGCTTCTACAACGAATACAACGTCAACTCTTACTCAGCGTCGGAACCCGCTCCCACACAAGTCAACCCTCACCGTTTCTTACAAAAATATAATTCGCATCTTCTTGGAGAGAACTAGAGCCACTGTATACGGCAACTTTAGCTGCCAGAGTCGCGACACGACGCTAAAAGATCGCAACATCAGAAGTGCCATTGTGATCTCGATTTTGGGTCTGGAGTTTGCCAGTAACTGAGCTGATAGTGGAGCCTGGCGGCTTCTTTATGAATTAAGGTTCATTTTATCTTTCCATCCGTTCATTAAACACGGCAAATGTCGGTAAAAGTAAGGAAAATCCCAGATAAAAGCATGCTTGGCACACCGAAGTGTGCGTATTATGAAGTATTGAGCGCCTCCCTCACCGTACGTTCAACGCATGCAGAGACGCGCATTGCCAATTTGAACTTTGAGCTACTAGAAAAGCAAAAGCAGACGCGAGCGGCGCCCCCAAATACATTCGAACGCTACTCGTCTATTGTCGGCCTTGTTCGGCTTTCTCGAACTGTGCGAGCACTGTATGTTGCTATTATACCACACTACACCAATCGCGGCGACAGGCGGCGGTGGGAAAAGCGTGGAGCTACTCTTGCGCTAAAACTGCCGTATACAGTACGTGGGTCTAGAAATAACCTATATGCATGTGTTTTCATTACGCCTCAAGTAAATTTCAGTTACGAGGGCGTGCTCCCGGTATCTGGATCAATCATTATGGTGCGCCTTTTTGCGGGTCACGTGATATAAATTTATTATTCTTTGTTCCAGTATACGATAGATCACTGACGTAGCTTCGGGCCGTGAAGTTCAATCACGAGCAAGTTTGGAACCACGTGGTGTGTTGCTCGGACGTGCATATCCCTGCTACCAGACGCACATGAGCATGTCGGCGAGATATACCAGGTGGTGTGTCATGAATTCAATGCCTGGAGTTTCATTAAACGTATACACGCCTTCCAATTTCAAAAGTCCTATGTTGACGCAAGACAGCACGTGTGAGGGTCATAACCCTGAGCCCGTCCTGCTGAGAAACTTTACATGACTAATACAGTCATAATGGTGGCATATATTGTCAACAGAGAGCGAGCAAAATTGCATAAATGTGACCTCAGATTGGGTTTTTCAACGCGCCATCTATAGCGGCAGCTGCACCAATTATTTCAGTCCGGCATTGTTTGGTCAGGTGCAATGCGTGGTACTGTTAGCGCTAACACGACTTCGGCGCCTTTTCGCCTTTTACTTCGAAAAGGTTCTGTCGGGCATATTAACTTGCCAGTTAGGCTAGCACCCCGACTGAGCAGTTCTCCCGACCATACTAGTGTTCGGGAAAGTCCTTCATTACTAACAGAGAAATAAATGAAGCACGAGATGGCTTGTTCAGTCTAACAGTGTCACCTAGCGTACTGTGAACATGAATTGAACACAAGGGCAGCGTCAGCGCTCAGCGTGAACTTGGCTCAGCTCAAATCGAGAACAAGTGCTGCATTGGTGTTCGGCAAGAAATCGAATTTAATCAGTCTTCGTCCCCAAGCAAAGACGACCGCCAATGTTACTTGATGGTGTTTTGAAAATAGTCTAGCACTCTTCTGCACTCCAGGTATATCGTGCGATTGTTACTTATTTTGCATTGCTGTTGATGAGTAACATGCATAGAACAGGCAAGCGCGTTTTCCTCTACAGGTATAGCCCACTAATAAAAGACAAAATTCAGATATGTTTTTAATATTTGCTTTAATGGTATTACGTGCACAATTTATTTGGCCTTCAAAATATTTTTGGCTTTTGTTAAGCTAATTTCAGGTACATTTTAAATTGGTATTGAAATTTCCGCCCTTGATAAAGCTCGACGTGAGGTGGTAAACGGAATCCGGCTCATCGAATGTTGTGTGATGACCTGCTTTGAGGACGACGGCGTATGAGAAATTCGTTATCGACTCTATATAACCTGCCACCCCATGGGAATCTCCGCATGTGCTCCACGTGTTTCGTCCAGCACTTTCAAATGCTTCCTTCTTGGTCCATTTGAGAGTTGAGAAGTGTTTGCGAAAATTCGTGGATGGAAAGAGCGCGTCAAGTTGCCCCGTATAGAGAAGAATATTTTGATAGTCGAGGGCGCTTTGAAACTTTTCCTGAATATTGGTAAAGAAATCTCCAGATAACATTAATGCAATCATTGGTCTCAGTGAGTTAATTTGGGAGAAAAGTGGAACGTGTAGTGATTGTTTGAACCCGCTTGTATTCATGTAATGCGTGTATGCCTCAGCTACAGGTGGCAGGATAGAATAAAGCGCACTTCTTTGAACGCTGAATCCTGTAAGTTTCTGAAACAAGCTTTTCTGACCGTCAGTTCCCAAATTAAACACTGTGGTGCTTAGAAGATAGAGTGCCAAGGTAGTGTTCGACTTTGATAATTCCCTAATATTTGCGAACGTTTCGTTGAATATCCTTCGGCCAGTGTCATTAAGCAGGCCAGTTTGGTACAGGAACTCGGTGGAATCCATTAGGTCTACAATTGGAGCTAGGAATCCAGCTCCCAGTATTAATCCACTTAGTGTTAAATTTGTCCTGTTCTCAGGGGGGGTGCACCTTAATCTTTCCCCAAATCCCAGCGCCGCTCTGGCTGAAAAAAAAAAAGACACAAACAAGGTTAGCAGCATTCTTAACACATGCAGGTAAATCTTAGTTTTGTAAATGCCCCTAAAGTGTAACTTGCTAAAACTACACCCAAAACACTATAATACTCTAATGTCAACCGGTTGCAGAAATAAAATTATATATGGAGCACCGACTCGCTTGAACGCAGACTAGAACCTGTGGGTGCACCAATGGCACCGAAACGTGGAAGTGTATGTGCCATAACCTTACTGCTTTGATTGACTGATTGTGCAGCTTCGAAGTTGACTCCGCTCTGTATTTAGAGACTCGCGCATACTTCTTTCAATGTCAGTTAGGCCGGAAGATCAGCTTCCGTAGTAGCTAGTAATTTCGTGAACTTAAAAAGGTCCCGCCGGTCGCTATTTTTTTGCCCATAAGTGCGTAGCGGAATTTCAATACGTAGTTAATTTGTCTTTGCTGCTTGGCAAACTCTGTGCTTCTCAGATTAATCCATGCGCATGTTACTATTATGAGTAAAGCCCAGCACATCCGCGCATTGCCCGCGGATGATCCGCGGATTGCCCGCGGATGATCCGCGGATATCCGCAGTCTAAGACCAGATGAGGATCAAAAGGAATCAAATTGTGCGGATTGCGGATGGGATGCGAATATCCGCCATCAGGATCTACATTTTTGTCGAGGTGGCCAATAAACCTGTACGAGCGCATTGTGTAAAATGAATAGGCGAGTGATACTGTGGAGCGTACCATTGAATGTGTTACGGGAGAAAATTGCTGTCTTATAAAAAGGTGTCAATAGGGCAAAAAACTGTTCTTTGTGTCAATAAAGATTTGATTCTCAGCAAAGATTGCTTTCGAACGTACTATCTCTTCAAGAATGCTCTCCATAGAAAAAGTATTTATTGCAGGAGCATCAGTCGTCCCGAGAAAGCGTGTTCTTGTTTTGGCAGGGAAAGGACAGAAAACGTTATTTGTTTGAAAACAATCCAAGAACGTACAAGTCACAAGAAAGTAGAAGCCTACAAGTGGGTTCTTTGTCAACAAGTGGATTGAAGAGATTAAACTCGACTCTCTGGAGGGGTGCAACTTGCGGCAGCACGAGTTTCTGTCCTTACTCTTGTAGCTCAGATCGTGCATTCCATCCCAGCATCTGGGGCACCAGTGGAGAGAGACTTCTAGTTAGCGGGTCTTAATTTAAAAGAGGCGAACCAGTCTGAATCCACCCATGCTGACGATATGATGTTTCTTTTAAACAGGAGCCTGGACAAGTAAAACATTGCTTGCTTGTGCGTTTTTTTTTTTTTTTGTTTTGTTTTGTTTTTTTCTTTCGACAGTTGACAAGTTATTTTTGAATTATGTGGTTCCGAGCATGCAGTTGAGAGTTCGTGTTTAAAATTGAAACCGATATGAGGTGTTGCCAATATTGAATATTGTGATATTTTCCCCTTGGTCTACCCGCGTATAGCACAAGATAATTTGGTGCTGGGAGTGGCCGTCTTTCCTCTTTTACGTTTTTTTATTGTTTGGTTTAAAAAAAATGACGCAATGTTTTTAATTTGTTCTTTTTAATTATTAATGTTTAGAAAAAATGTGTTTTTGCTTAAAGTAAGTTTTAAAATTCAAAAAGAAAAAAAAAATTAAAACGTGCTTTATTTTGAGCGCATTTCATAGACAGTGTCACGGACTCCCAAGGTGATCTCACACTTCGGGCCACCTTCGCAGCGATGCGAAGTGTCTTTAGACGGATGATCACTCATTATATAAATACGGTAAAACAAAATACGATGACATGATTTTCACCGTATTCTGACTCGAAAAGAGTTTTGAACAAACGGAAGCAGACGGCTGGTAACACCGTTCGTGATACTTGCAGTAATGAATTTTGGTTGCGCAACACTTCCAGATAGTTGTGATTTATTGGCCAGCGGCATTTTGTTAAAAGAATTGCCTTGCGTGCATTTATGGAAGAAAAAAAAAAAAACACGTAGACGGCATTCACAAGTCGCACAATGTACTCTTTTGTTTAGAATTGGCTGGCCTTTCGGAGTACATTTTCTAATACTTCAGAATACGACTAAGAACAATACAAAATTGCCCTTAACTTACCTCCGTATGATTCACCTGCGACGTAAAAGGAGCGCCCCATGTACTCCGGAAATAAAATAAGGAATTGTGTCATAAATGTTTCTATCATAACAGCCATCTCCTCCAACGTATGAGCGTAGTTTTTAGGATCAGTATAATTTTTGATTATGCTGAGTCCTGCGCCCGCTGGCTGATCTAAGTAGATGACACTTGCGTGCTGTTGAAGGGTTTTGTTTCTCTTGAAGAGATCTCCTGTGGCGCTGATTCCAACAGGCCCGTTCTCTGCAAACTGAGTCCACATGGAAGATTCTCCGGGCCCACCGTACAGCCAGAGCAGCAGAGGGGCGTTGTGTCTTATATTCTGCGGGGTCGAGGATAATGTGAGAA